CTCTCCCCCCGCACCCTCTCACACTCTCGCCCCACACCCTCTCACACTCTCCCCCCGCACCCGCTCACACTCTACCCCGCACCCTCTCGGACACCATCCACCTCCAGCAGTTTAAACATACAGCATGTATAATGATGTAACATACAGCCCTCCCCACCCACAACATGTGTCCGTTATTCTGCTACAGCCAGCCCATCATTCATTCCTCAGTCACCAGGACAGTTACATCGAGCTGAATTTTATGCTTTTTTTTGGCCATTTTGTCAGGTTTGTGGCGTTTCTCGCTGTAAGGTCTAGTGAGGTTTCTCGTGCTACTGTCCCAAGCCTGTCTCATTAACTGCACACTCCCCGCTCCTCCACTCCCGTGTTCAATGTGATCCCAACTCTCCTACTCATCATATGTGCCTGAATAACTCACCACTTCCACATATCCCAGACTAGCTAGTATCCCTGGCACCAGCATCATCTTTAAAATCCTGTTGTGTTCCCCAGGCCGGCACTGTCAGTCGGAGATGCTCAGCGCTGTCCTGACATTTACCCAGTCATGGCAGGCAGGGGAAAATAGGTGCCCAGCTTTGGGGGCAGGGTCCTTGAGCTCCTCCTGGACGGCGTGCTGTGGAGCAGGTGTAGTGTGGTCACCACAGTATGATCCACGTGGAGAAACCACCAGCAGTGAAGGAAGGAGCTCAGTGACTTTCTGCATTCGGCCAGGATGCTGCCAGCTTCTCTGTGATAGCTCACACTCACTTCATCTCTGCACCAGGGCTCACATTCTGCCTCACCTTACCTCATTAGCCGTCCCCGCTCCACACATACACAGATACACACACACACACACACACACACACACACAGATACACACAGACACACACACACACAGACACACATATACACACAGACACAACACACACACACATACACACACAGACACACACATACACAGACACACACACACATACACAGATACACACAGACACACACACACATAGACACACACACAGAGATACACACAGACACACAGACAGACACACACACACATACACAGATACACAGACACACACACATATACACACACACAGACACACACATACACACACAGACACACACACATAGACACAGACACTCACACATACACACGCACACACACAGACACAGACAGACAGACAGACACACACAGACACACACACACACACACACATACACATGCAGACACACACACACACAGACACACCCTCCTGGCACTCTGAGCTGCCTAATCACTCACTTGGATCACCTCACCAACCTTCCCCCACGTGCACCAGCGCCAATGTCTGTGCCAGCTACTTTTATCTCCTTCAAATTCCCTCCCTTTCTCTCATTTCAGCAGGAAACTGCCCACTATTGGACAGAAAGAACCAAGATGGACACCAGGCTGTAGTTCCCTCGGCTCCTCACTCCCAGGAGGACAGACCGGGCTCTGACCATCCATTCCCAAGCCCCTGGACTAAGATCAGATGCTGCCCTGTGCTGATAGCCCCTAACTAAAGCTGGTCCCTTTCATTGGCTGGCTTTGTATCCACGCTACTGTGTATTCTTTACAAGATTCACTTCAGAAATTCGCCAACGATCCTCAGACAACAGCTTCCAAACCCACAACCACTTCCAACCAGAAGAACAGGGGCAGCAGATACATGGGAAAACCACCCCCTGGCAAGTTCCCCTCCGAGCCACTCACCATCCTGACTTGGAAATAGATCACCGTTCCTTCAGTGTCGCTGGGTCACAATCCTGGAATTCCCTCCCTAAGGACATTGGGGGTCAACTCACAGCACATGGACTGCAACGGTTCAAGAAGGCAGCTCACCCCCACCTTCTCAAGGGGGCAATTAGGGATGGGCAGTAAATGCTGGGTCCAGGCAGCGATGCCCACGTCTCATGGGAGGAAGAAAATACAGCAATGCAGGACAGAGGCACCGTGAGCCTTGTAGCTGTTGCTATTTTATGGGGGCGGGATCTGGTGTGGGGCAGGGCAGGTGGGCCAGAGTCAAGTGAGGACTAACAGAGAATGTGAGCAGCCCAGAAATGCCACCTGGTCTGAATGTGAGGCAGGTGCCCATCCCCAGGCGAGAACTGTCCTGGCACCAGCATTCCAACGCAAACTCTCAACATGCCTCCAAGGGCAACGTTAAAGGTCAGAGGTGTATTGGAAGTGAGTTGGGAAGGTGCCATGAGGGTGCCCTGACCTGTTGTTACTAGGTGACCAAGACGGAAGCGCAGGAGGTGAGCTGGCATTCCCAGGTACCCGCGCTGACGTTCCCGTTGGGAATTCCCCATGTCTAGTTTCCTGGCAGAGTATGGTGGGATAGGAAGCTGCATGTTAATGGAATAGGACGAGCATGTTAATGAGGCTGATAACCAGTAGTACTTTCCATTAATAGGCCCCTCACCATGGCCTAGTGAGAATCTCATTTTAGGATCCTGGTTGAAAAATGAAGCAAGTTGCTCCCGATGTCAAGGCTGGACTTCTCTGGTGCTTCTCCCAGATTCCTCACCGTACCGTAACATCGTCCGGCACCCCCCCACCCCCTCCGCCAGATTCTGCCCACTAACCAATCATCCCCTGCCCTCTAAACCTGCTTCACATGAAGCCTACACTCGGCGTTAACCTCCTGTTTATAACATCATGGGATTATTCACAATTAATTCTCATATCAGAGGGTAATAAACAATCTGCTATAGGAAGGGGGTTATGAAACCTGAGAGGGTTCAGAAAAGATTTACAAGGATGTTGCCAGGGTTGGAGGGTTTGAGCTACAGGGAGAGGCTAAATAGGCTGGGGCGATTTTCCCTGGAGCGTCGGAGGCTGAGGGGTGACCTTACAGAGGTTTATAAAATCATGAGGGGCATGGATAGGGTGAATAGACAAGGTCTTTTCCCCAGGGTGGGGGAGTCCAAAACTAAAGGGCACAGGTTTAAGGTGAGAGGGGAAAGATTTAACAGGGACTGAGGGACAACTTTTTCACACAGAGGGTGGTGCGTGTATGGAATGAGCTGCCAGAGGAAGTGGTGGAGGCTGGTACAATTACAACATTTAAAAGGCATCTGGATGGGTATATGAATAGGAAGGGTTTAGAGGGATATGGGCCAAATGTTGGCAAATGGGACTAGATTTATTTAGGATATCTGGGTGACATGGATGAGTTGGACCAAAGGATTTGTTTCCGTGCTGTATATCTCTATGACTGTATACCTGGTCAGTTTATACTCAGGCTGTTTGTGGGAACTTGCTGTGTACAAGCTGGTTACTACATTACAGCAGTGATGATAACACTTGGAAAAAGTAATGTCATTGGCTGTAAAACTCTTTGGGAAGTTCTGAGCGTATTACAGAAATGAAAGTATCTCTTCTTTTATCATCAAAAACATTCCCCTGGGAGGTCGCCGGACATGGAAACTGTCAGAGAGGCTGGGCCTCTATCCACTGGGGTTTTGAAGTATGTGACGTGACCTCCTGGAGACAGACACGATCTTGGGGGAACTGAGTAAGGTCAACACCCACAGTGGGTTTGTCCTCATGGGAGACACCACAATTAGAGGGCACGGTTTGAGAAAAGGTGTCACCAAATTCAGGTGGAGATGAAGAGAGTGAGGGAGGTGGGTCATTGAATATTATTGAGGTTGAGATAGATCAGACAAGGATCCAAGGTCATAGGGGGCTGACATAAATCATAGAAACCCTATGGCCATTCAGCCCATGATAATGCTCCAAAGAGCTAACCCACCTAGCCTACATATCCCTGGACACTATGGGCAATTTAGCATAGCCAATCCACCTAGCCTGCACACCTTTGGACTGTGGGAGGAAACCCATGCAGACACAGGGAGAATGTGCAAACTCCACACAGACAGTTGCCCGAGGGTGGAATTGAACCCAGGTCCCTGGTGCTGTGAGGCAGCAGTGCTAACCACTGAGCCACCGTGCCACCCTGTTCCAGAAAGTAAAGGTCAGATCCCAGTCTGACCTGAGATGATCTTATTGAATGGTGGAGCATCCCCAAGCAGTGGAGAAACATTTTGCTCACACTGATGATTGGCAACAATCCTACTTCATATTTTTTGAAGTAATAATATGCAGCAGTAAAAGTTTAAAAGGGGGGCTGGGGGGGAGGGCGGGTGCTGCTTACCATGCACTTATCCAGGGAAGCCTTGATACTGTCCATTGTGGGCTGTGGTGGGATCCAGTTATCTGTGGTCTCTGCTACTTCATACAACCACTGGACCATTTCTTCAAGTTTAGAGCTAAAGCTCTGTGGGAACAAAATAGTGGATCAGTTACATACAATTATATAGAACACACAGCACAGAAATAGGCCATTCAGCCCAACTCATCCATGCTGGTGTTTATACTCTGCTCTGCCCAGGACCATAAGAAACTACAGAGGGTTGTGGACACAGCCCAGTCCATCACGGAAGCCAAACATCCAATCACTGACTCTGTCTGTACTTCCCAGTGCCTTGGGAAGGCAGCCAACATGATCAAAGACCCTCCCTGACCGCCGGCTCCGCCCCTCCCCCCGACCCCGGTTATAATCTCTTCCAACCTCTTCTGTCACGCAGAATACACAAAAGCTTAAACACACATATCAAATAGATTCAAGAACAGCTTCTTCCTCGCTGTTACTAGACTTCTGAATGGACCTCTCAAACTTCAAATTTAATGTTTATCTCACTCTTTGTGCACCTTCTCTGCAGCTGTAACATTGTATTCCTCGCTCTGTTTTATTACCCTAATGCACTTTGTATGGTATGATCTGCCTGCACTGCATGCAAAACAAAACTTTTCACTGTACCTGGGTACATGTGACAATAATAAATCCAATCCAATCAAATACACCACATGATTCCATCTGTCTCATCACAGCCTGCCTTTCTAACCCTTTCACTCTCATGCTCCTGCCTAGTTTCATTTTGAAAGCATCAGAGATATTTGCCACAACCACTTCCTGTGGTAGTGGGTTCCACATTCTCCCTACTCCCTGAGAAAGATAATGTCTCTAGATTTCTCTGTTGGAAATATTTACACCTCTCTTGTATTTATAACCTCTAGTTTACGGCTCTCCAACAGGGAGACACATGCTCTCAATATTGACACTATCTAACCCGTTCAGAATTTTACATGCCTCTCCAAATTTTAAAGCTTTGTATTTTAAAACAGAAATCTTAAATGAAACAAAGAATGGCTGAAACTGAAGATGTGAAATAGAAACAGAAAGTGCTGGAGGAACTCAGCAGCCCCTGCCTAATCTTTCACAGTTACAGGGTGATTTGCAAAGTCACATCCTCAACTTTAACAATGCAAACTCTCAAGTTCTAAACTGAAACCATACCAGCTTAGTTTCCTAGCTCGCCCAATCCAGGACCTTTGTATCAGCAAGAAGCAAGATTGATTTATTCTGTGAGGTATTCGAATGGAACATAGAACTGGAAACACTTTACCTGAATGTGAGCCAACAGGCTCACATTGTTCTCAGTTGCTTGTTCGAAGGGCTGGTTGAATAGCAGCTGAGAACCAGACCATGTGCCCAACTTTCTAATAAAGTCATTGGCCTTTTTTAAGTCGGCGATTATATCTTCATACTGTAGACTCTTGGGCTTCTTTCTGGGACTAATTCCCAGTTGGCAGCTTGACTGAGCAGCCTCAGTGCTGTTGTCCTGCTTAGTGAGGTTACACTTGGTGTTGCCACTTTTAGGGTCTGTGCCCTCTCTCATCCCATTGGCTACTTTGGCAGACTTGCTCTCCAAATGAACAGAGAGCTTCTCCAGTTGTTGGGCCAAGGCTTCCAGTTCATTCAGCTTGTATGGGAGAGTGAGAAATTCCTCCTCACTCTCCCACTCTTTGTTTAAAGGTAGGACCTGCGTGGTTAATATAAAGCCTCCAGGATCTTTCCCTGAGAGCAAAGGCTTGGAAGATTCCTCATTTGAGCTGCCTGAGAGAAAACTCGAATCAATGACTGAAGAGGCCATGGTCCGCTCAGACAGGACTGCCCGGTTAACGAGGCCCTCGGTTTTATTCCTCGCAGGACTATCCACAGAGGTGTTTGGAATGATACCAGCCTTAGGAGATTGATCGGAGAGCCAATAGGATGGTTGGTTGTGCAGGTGGAGTGGACTGGAGGAACAGTAAGGAGTCTCTGTGTGATCCTCTCTGTAGCTAGAATGGCCCCAGGTGACATTAGCAGCACTGCCAATGTTAGACTGGTAGGCAGGCAGTGACAATGAGGTGTTTGTAATAGTTGTATTTGACAGGGAGGGTATCGGGCTGTCATCCATGATCCCAGAATCCTTTAGATAGGAGTCAGAGGTCATATCATCATCATCATCATCATCATCATCATCATCATCTAAGTTGTCCCTGGAGCTGATGTGCCCTGGTCTTAAGGGATATGTAAAATCCAGCAGAGCTTGGTATTCCTCGTCAGGGTCCCAGTCAGGGGAGGTGCGGTCTCGAAATGGCCTGTTGGAATCTGATTGCCTCATGGCCCAGTATTCGGAGAAACAAGGTGTGACCTCTTTGTCACGGAGTGCCTTAAAGCTGGAGACTGACAGGCCAACACTGTCAGTCGAGATTTGGCCGAATGGTGTATATCGGCCCACATCGACATTGTGTGAGCTTAATGTGGCTTTCCTTTTTGGTATACACTGAGAGAAAGCAGACATATCGAGGCAGGTACTGTACCTCGAAGTGGACAGGCACCTCCCATTGAGTGGTTTCTCAACCTCGAGGCTCTTGAGTGATCTGGATATACCAGCAATAGATCTTGTCATCTTCGGGTCGGATTTACCACCAGGTTCATACACTCGAGACAGAGAAAGTGACAAGGATTTTGGCTGGTATGTAGGATACGGGGAATGTAAGGATTCAGAGAGGAGAGAGAACGTCCCACTGTCATCCCGTCTTTCTGATGGGATCCCTCTCATATATCCGGAATAGAGGTGGGAATATCTTTTACTCTGATCCTGCATATCAGCTCCCTGGAAAACAAGACAAGGGAGATATTAAAGATGTTTTTCCCCTATAGCAAGCACCAACTTTTCAGACAATGGTTTCCATGTTTTTACATTCACAGAACTTCATTGAACGTAGTCACCATGACTTGGAGGGGACCATTCATCCCATCAAGTCTGTGGGCGTCCCTGAAAGGGCAACATTTATTATCCATGCCCTTGGATTGAGAGATGTGCTCAGCCATTTCAGAGGGCGGTTAGGAGCGAACCACTTTCCTACGGATCTGGGGTCACATGGAGGCCAGACAGGGTAAGGATGGCAGATCTCCTTCCTTCGAGCGCATTAGCAAACCAGAAGGTTCATTTTTTTATGACAAGTGGTGATACTTTCATGATTGGTTTTAATTTCCAGATTTTATGAACGGAATCTAAATTAAACTAAAGTATATCTAAATTCCACCAGTGGATCAAAACTATCCAACAGTGTGATGTGAACCCAGGGTAGAAGTCTGAACATAAACAGAAGCAGAAATTGCTGGTAAAGCTCAGCAGGTCTGGCAGCAGCTGTGGAGAGAAATCAGAGTTAACATTTCAGGTTGAGTGACCATTCTGAAGAAGCCCCACCTTTGGATTACTAACTCAGTTACATCACCACAAGGCCACAACTCACTCTCATTATTCAGCCATTGTATGTAAACAGTTCCAGATGGACAGTGACTTTTTTACAACAATTTGGTGACTTTCATGCCAATTTCTTTCACTTTCAGAAACAGAGAAGATCGAGACAGAACGAGGGAGAGGAGAAAGACTAATTTTGGCGAGACAGAGATAAAATAGGAAGAAATGGCAGCGGCAATCGCGGCATCAGGAGATTTCTTCAAGAGACAAAAATCTAAAAAATTACAGTTAACTGTGGCGAACAAAGGAAGTTCAGGATTGCATAAGATTAAAAGAAAAGGCCTATAAAGTTACCAGCAATAGGAGTAATTGGAAGGATTTTAGAATACATTAAAGGAGGACCAAGAAATGAAAAGGAGGGAAAATTGAATTTGAATGCAATTAACTTAAAAGTGGACTGTAAAAGTTTCTATAGGGACACAAAAGGAAATATTTGGCTAAAATGAATGTAGGTTCATTAAAGGCAAAGTCAGGAGAATTTATAGTGGGGAATAGAGAAACGGTAGTGAAGCTAAATTATTATTTTGTTGCAGATTTCACCGAGGAAGATACAAAATCTCCCAGAATTAGAGATGCAAGTGATTAGGGAGAATGAGAAGTTGAAGAAAATTAGCTTTAGTCAGGTCAATGGGTCAGAAAGTAGGCAGGGGAGATGTGGGTAAGGCATTTCCCTGACTGGGGAGTCTAGAACCAGGGGCACAATTTAAAAATAAGGGGGTCCAAGAGAGGACAGCATTTTTTTACTCAGGACGTTGCTGGAATTCTTTATCTCAGACAGCTCAGTCTATGATGTGAATATGTTTAAGGGAAGGCTGAACAGACTAAATGGTCTACTCCTGTTCCTATGTTAGTTGAGGACTGTGCTTATGTACGAGAGTAAATTTAAAATCCAGTTTAAACAACAATTTAAGTTGCATTGCTCAAGTCTCTTGCCAATTGGATACAAAATTAGCAGGGAGACACAGGGAGGTGGTTGAGGATTGTTTTTCAGACTGGAGGCCTGTGACCAGCAGTGTTCTGCAGGGGTCGGTACTGGGTCCACTTTTGTTTGTCATTTATATAAATCAGTTCAATGAAAATATGGGAGTCGTAGTTAGTAAGTTTGCGGATGAATCCAAAATTGGTGGTATAGTGGAGAGTGAAGAAGGGTATCTAAGCTTACAAAGGGATCTTGGTCAATTGGGCCAATGGGCTGGAGTTTACTTTGGAGAATGTGGCTTATTGCATTTTGGTAAACCAAACAAGAGCAGGACTTATATAGTTAATGGTAGGGTCCTGGTAGTCTTGTCGAACAGAGAGACCAGGCACATAGTTCTTTGAAATTTGCATCACAGGTAGACAGGGTGGTTAAGAAGGCGTTTAGCACACTTGCCTTCATTGCTCAGACCTTTGAGTATAGGAGTTGGAACGTCATGTTGAGGTTGTACAGGACGTTGGTGAGGCCTCTTCTGGAGTACTGTGTCCAGTTCTGGTCACCCTGCTATAAGTAGGATATTATTAAATTGGAAAGAGTTCAAAAAGATTTACCAGGATGTTGCCAGGACTGGAGGGTTTGAGTTGTAAGGAGAGGCTGGATATGACTTTTTCCCTGGGGCATCGGAGGTTGAGGGGTGACACTACAGAGGTTTATAAAATCGTGAGGTGCATCAATAAGGTGAATAGCCAAGGTCTTTTCCCCAAGGTTGGGGAGCTCAATACTAGGGGGCATATTTTTGACATGAGAGGAAAAAGATTTAAAAAGGGACCCGAGGGGCAACTTTTTGATGCAAAGGGTGATTCGCAGGTAGAATGAACTACCAGAGGAAGTGGCAGATGCACGTACAGTTACAACAGTTAAAAGACATTTGGACAGGTACATGAATAGGAAAGGTTCAGAAGGATATGGGCCAAATGTAGGCAAGTGTAATTTAGTTTGGGAAATTGATCAGCATGGACAAGTTGTACTCAAGTGTGTTTCCGTGCTTTATGACTCTATAACAATGTTTCTTTTAAAAACAAAGTAGTGAACAGATGCACCTGGACAGCCAGAACAATGTTTATATTCCTTACCTGTTTAGAGCTGGCTGTTAAAGTAAGGCTCCTGAATTGACTAGACACCTGCTTGTGGTTGATCAATCTTCAGTCTGCTATGAATTTTCCTAATGTGATTTTCCAGCTGATAGAGTAAATAAACAACTTGGACATTTTTCTTCTGCATTTGCTTCAACGATCCTTCATTCAAACATTGATGGGTTTTGGCAGTGTTCACAGTTAATGGAGACGAACGGAAGTAATTAAAGTACAGTAACCGAGAGACTGTGTGAGGAAGTTTAGATGGATCTGCTAGCAGTTCAGTATAATCCCATGGATCAAAACTCTTAGACTTGCTCCCAGCTGAAATGTAAGGAAGGAGTCGAATCTTCAAGCCCATTAAGGTCTATACCAGCAACTTTTATGACTGCTGGCATTTTCTGAAAGGTCAAAAAAAAGTAACCGATTAATTAATTAATCAGGAAGGGTCACCTGAAACGTTAACTCTGACTTTTCTTCACAGATGCTGCCAGACCTGCTGAGCTTTTCCAGCAACTTCTGTTTTTGTTCCCGATTTGCAGCATCCGCAGTTCTTTCGGTTTTTATTTTTCAATCAGTTAATCGATCATCTCAAGAACAGAAACTGACTATTTGGCCCGACCGGTCTGTTTAAACGCCACATGATCCTGCTCCTAAATCTGATCTCACAGTGGAGTAAGATAAGAGACAGGAGGAGCAAGGCTGTTCATTAAAACCGGGTGTTGTTCAGGAACAGTGAAAACTGTCGCACAGCACAGGGCAGTACTGGCCACATGTCCCATCTCAGTATAATAGGGGGAGTGAGATTTGAAATAGGGAGGACTGGCTGATGGATTGAGGGCCAGGCAGAGAGGGCTGCGGAGTAATTAGAGTAGCCACAAGGAATACAGTGTAACAAATATTACTGCTGATAGACGTGCATCTTGGAGAGAGAGAGGAAAAGCAGAAAGGAGACAGTAAGTAGGATCACTGCAAAGAAGGTGCAGACACAAGCAGTCATCACAATGGGAAAAGGAAGATCAAGAGGAGGTTTTTAAAATGAGGCAGGAGTTTGATTTTTGGACTGTCTTCATTTCTTAGGGAGTGAGAGTGATTAAGTTGCGATGATCAGTTAAGAGGTTGAGGGGTTGTTGGACTGTGAATTCCTTACCACACAGAGCAGGGGTGCAATTAACAGGTATTTGAATCTGAGAGAGATACAAGACCGTGGGGTAAAAGTGAAAGAGTAATTTTATCTCTGGATTGCTCTGTCACAGAGCCAGCACAGAAACTATGGGACAAATGGCCTCTTTCTGCATCAGACAATAAATCTGAAGATTTGGGAAACTAAAAAACAGGAACAGGAGTGGGCCATTCGGCCCTTTGAGCCTGCTTCACTATTCAATCTGATCATGGCTGATCGTCTAATGCAGTCCTTGCTTTCTCCCCATACTCTTTGATCCCTTTAACCCTAAGGAGCTATACATCAATGGGAGGAGGGAAAGAGTTTGGGATCACCAACAGATTCTTTTATTCTTCCTGGAATGTGGGTGATACTGGCAAGGCCAGCATTTATTGCCCCCTCCTTACCTGCCCCCGAACGGAGTGGTTTGCTGGACCATTTCAGAGCGCAGTGAAGAGTTAGCAGCATTGGTGTGGGGGGGTCTGAAGTCTAGCAACAGCAGATGGGGTGGGGGGCATTGTGAACCAGATGGGCTGTTATAATAATTGATGACTGTTTCCGGAGAAGCTACAAGTGCCACAATGGTGGAGTGACAGCGTCCCTGCCTGTGGACCAGGAGAACAGGGTGCTAGTCCCACCTGCTCAAGAGGTGTGTGATAGCGTTGCTGGATTAGAAAATAAAACACGAAAAGTGGTAGCTAAGTCAGGCACACAAAGCCCATGTATACAGAGGTGACAATGACCAGGTCTAGTTGCTCTCTTTGTGTGACATTGGTTAAGGATTCAGTCACATACTCCCCACACTCTCCACATTCTCTCCCCCTGGGATCTCCCTGCTCTCACATTTCGCACAATTCACAAGCCTTGGAATGGGAATAATGTTAGTCCCTGGATATGCTCCATCATCAGGAGACCTTCCACTCTAAAGGAACCAGCACCCACTGAGAGGGGGCTGCCCACAAGAATTGTTGTCATGCAAAAAGATTTGTTGTTACTAAACAGTGAGTCCCTTTCCACTTACACTGCCGTCTCACCCTGGGCTGGAATAGGATACAAGGCTCCTATCTAATGTCTTAATTAACACTTGAACAGTAGAGACTGACAAAGGAGTTTCTTTGCTAAACAACAGGGCAGTAACATTGCCTTCCCAGGGGCCTTTAGCTATGTCACACAGCAAGTTCAGACACGCCTGGGCCTGGATTCCAGCCTTTGTACAAGAGAACATGGCAGCAGCTGCAAGCAATAATGCCAGTAAAACCCAGAAAGAGGCAAATACAACACGGGACTGCTCCAAAACCAGCCAATGAAGGGTCTAGGCCCGAAACGTCAGCCTCTCTGCTCCTATGATGCTGCTTGGCCTGCTGTGTTCATCCAGCCCTGCACCTTGTTGTCTCAATTTCCAACCTGTTCAAATGCCAGAATCCAACAGAGCCAAAGAAATTCATCCAACGAAAAACAAAGCTTTCACTTTTCACAGGACCATTCAAACTGCTGTCTGCTCAAGTCTAATGTGTGAGGCCATTCAGCCCCTAAAGTCAGTTCCCAGCACTTAAATGAGATTAGGGCTGGTTGGGCAGGACCTGAGGGAGACAGAGATAAAGTCAATGTTTCACATTCGTCACAATCAGGCTCTGGTCATCGACCCAAGGCATTAACTCTGTTTCTCTCTCTTTGCAGACCTGCTGAGTTTCTCCAGCACTTCCTGTGTCAGATCTCCAGCATCTGCAGTATTTTGCTTCTCTATGACCATGCCTTTATCTTGTATCTCTTAATATTTCTGGCTAACAGAAAGTCTCAGATTTAAAATTAATTGGCATTTTTTGGAACTGAATTTGAACATTGTAGATGTTTCACGTGATTCCTAGTTTCAGGTCTGCCTCCATTTTAAAACTGTCTTGAGCTTCACACCCACCTGAAACAGTTTCTCTATTTCTCTCTATCTCTTCCCTTAATGTCTTAAACACTTTGATCAAATCAGCCCTTAACCTTCCATATTCCAGGAATACAATCCTCATTTCTCAAAGGCACAAACATGAAAACCAAACGCTTTTATCAAGTTTGACAATCCCAGTATCTAATTAACTCCTGGGTTTCATAATGACTGGAAAATGCTCTTTCCAAAATGAACTAAGAACACTCAGACTGCTTAGCAATAACTTGTATTTCTATAGCAACTTTTAGAGCAGTGAAATAACATAAGGTGTTAGACCCAAGTGGTTTAACATTTCCTTGCACGGCTTAATGTTAAAACAGGAGGCACAAAGTGGTCAGTCTTACAGTGCATCTTAAAGGAGGGAACCCAGCCGGAGAGGTTAGGGGAGGCAATTTCAGAGTGAGGGGAGTGACTAACTGCAGACACAGCCAACAATGTACCTGCCAGTACAATCAGGTGTGTGAGAGAGTCAGAGAGTCACAGAATTATACAGCATGGAAACAGACCCTTCAGTACAACCCATCCACACCAACCAGGTACCTTAAACTGATCCATTTGCCAGCATTTGGCCCATATCCCTTTAAACCCTTCCTATTCATATACCCATCCAGATGCCTTTTAAATGTTGTAACTGTACCAGCCTCTACCACTTCCTCTGGCAGCACATTCCAAACATGCACCACCCTCTGCATGAAAAAGTTGCCCCTTAGATCCCTTTTAAATCTTTCCCCTTTCACCTTAAACCTGTGCCCTCTAGTTCTGAACTCCCCTGCCCTAGGGGAAAGACCTTCTCTATTCACCCTAACCATGCCCCTCATGTTTTAATAAGCCTTTATAAGCCTCTGATGTTCCAGGGAAACTACCCCAAGCCCATTCAGCCTCTCCCTGTAGCTCAAACCCTCCAAATCCAGCAACATCGTTGTAAATCTTTTCTGAACCCTTTCAGATTTCACAACATCCTTCCTATAGCAGGGAGGCCAGGAGTGAACAGAGTATTCCAAAAGTAGCCCTAACCAATGGCCTGTACAGCTGCAATATGACCTTCCAACTCAATGTTCTGACCAATAAAGGTGGGCGTGCCACACACCACCTTCACTACCCTGTCTATCTGCAACTCCACTTTCAAGGAACTGTGCCAGAGTTGGAGCAGTGAAGAGGTCTCACAGGACTGTGGGCCCCAAATGTAATATTTCCGAGTTAAAACAGTTAACTAAGTGGGAATGTGTTGTGAGGAAAGTGTTAAAAGGCCTCAGCAGGATTGGGCAAGGACATGGCAGATGGAATATAATGTGGAAAAATGCATCCACTTTGGTGGCAAAAATAGAAGTGTTGAGTATTTTGTCAAATGGGAGGAGGTTTGAAAGTGTAAATGTACAAAAGGAACCTAGGTGTCCTTGTCAATAAGTTACTGAAGGCTAACACAGGTGCAGCAAACTGTTAGGAAGATTAATGGAATGTCAGCCTTTATCACAACAGGAGTACAGGAATAGTGAAATCTTGTATCAACTGTGTAGGAGCTTGGATCGACTGCACCTAGAGTCCTGGGCGCAGTTTTGGTCTTCCTTATCTCAGGAAAGATAGTACTGCAACAGAGGGAGAGGAGCAAAGGTTCAGCAAGCTTGTCCCCAGGATTGCGAGACTGTCCTGTGAAGAGAGAGATTGGTCACACTCAGTGTGTGGATTTTCTACAGTTTCGAAGAATGAGAGGTGATCTCATTGAAACTTAGAAAATACGTAAAAAACATTGACAGGGCAAATGGAGCTAAGATGTTTCTCTAACTGGGGAGTCGAGGACATGGGAATACAGGAACATAGAATTAGGACCGTGTATGAGCAATGAGCCCTTAGAGCCTGCTCTGCCATTTAACATGATCATGGCTGATCTTATCCTGGTCTCAACTCCACTTTTCTGCCTGCTCCCCATAGCTCTTTATCCCAGTTCTCATCTGAAACATATCTATTTTATTCCTGAATCTGCTGATTGATTCTGCCTCCACTGCACTCTGGCAGGGAGGTCCACAAATTCACAATCCTCTGAGAGAAATCCAGGGGCACAATTTAAACATAAGGGAGATTAAACTTGGGTCTGAGATGAGGAGAAATGATTTATTCAGAGGGCAGTGAGCCTTTGGAATTCTCTATCACAAGGGGCTGTGGAAGCTCGGTCTTTGAGTCTGTTTAAGGTAGAAATTGACAGACTTGGCCAACCCTGGGGATGACAGGCCAATCGTATGAGTTTGACTGGGCCTATATTCACTGGGGTTTAGAAGAATGTGAGGGGATCCAATTGAAACATATAC